ATGAGAACAATGCAGCCTTTGAGGCATATGATGCGTTCGAGAGATATGAGCGACCATCTGGCATGTCTGTGTTTGAGTACATCAACACATTTGAAAGACTGTATCAGAAGGCAAAGCACTACAAGCTGGAGTTGCCTGATGGTGTTCTAGCGTACAGACTCATTCGCAGTGCTAACCTTTCAGATGCACATCAACAGCTAGCAAGGGCAACTCTGCCGTCGCTCACATATGCAAACATGCAAACCCAGCTGAAGAAGATCTTCACAGACAGTAGTTCTCAGGGTGTGCCGTCAGCGAGAGTGGCAGTAAAAGTCGAGCCCGTGGATACAGTCGCAGAACCAGGGCTCGGCCAGGCGGCCGACACCCTCTTCGTTCAGCGAGGCAGAGCACAGAGTGTCGGACGAGGTTTCAACCGAAGAGGACGAAGTGGTGGACCGCGCTTCGCCTCACGACCGCCTCTGCGTGGCAGTGGGACTACCTGGACTTCACGTGGCGGCTCGAGAGATCCTGGATCTGCTGGACAATCCGCCAACCAGCGCACAAGGGCTAGATCTAGGCAGAATCCACGGGATTTAAGGGGTAATGTGACCACCTGTGCAGTGTGCAACTCTTGGTTTCACTGGGCCAGAGATTGCCCCGATCGCGGTGAGGTGTTCGAGGCGTCTGCTTGTGACGATGATAGCCATGACCCCACACAGGACGAGGAGGTATTCGTGACGTTGTTTGCGAGGGATACATGTGAAAGTGGACCAACTGAACGTTCAAAGACGGAGGGACTGCTGGGCGAAACACTAGGCTATGGTATCATCGATAGTGGATGTAGTAAGACCGTGTGTGGTGAGGTGTGGTACAAATGTCACTTGGATGCCATGTCTTCAGATGACGCGGAGCGAGTGGTAGAGGAGCCCAGCAGCACAACGTTTAGATTTGGGGATGGTGAGAAGGTTACTTCTCTAAAGAAAGTAACGTTTCCAGCACTGGTAGCCGGTAAGACGGTGCGCGTGGCTGCTGATGTGGTTCCCTATGAGATACCTTTACTCCTCAGCAAGGAGTCGCTGAAGAAGTGTGATGCGCTGCTAGATTTTTCCCGAGACACGGCGGTACTGTTTGACACTGAGGTCAAGCTATCTGTGACCTCAAATGGCCACTACATAGTACCTGTGGCGAAGTTTCATGTCGGTAGTGTGAGTGCCAGGCAGGACATAGAGCAGGTACTTTTTTGTTCAAAGTTTGAGGGTGCCAACGAGAAGGAGCGCATGCAAATAGCTAGGAAGTTGCATCGTCAGTTCGGTCATCCTAGGAGTGTGAAACTGCAGTCCCTGTGTCTTGATGCTGGCGTCCAGGACAAGGATTTCTTTCGCATGCTTGTCTCAGTGGAGGAAACCTGTGATGTATGTAAGAGGTATAGGAGATGTCTGCCCCGACCAGTGGTTGGTTTTGGGATGGCTCGCGACTTCAATGATGTCGTTGCGCTGGATCTAAAGCAGTGGGGACCTGGAGTATGGTTTTGCCACATGATAGATCTGGCCACGAGGTACAGTGCGTGCGTGGTAGTGAAAAACAAAGACAAGCAAACGATCCTGCGTGCAATCATGACTGAGTGGATAGCTAGGTTCGGGGCACCCGGTCAGTTCTTGTCTGATAATGGAGGTGAGTTCAACAATGAAGAGTTCCGAGAGATGGCCGAGGCGTTCAACATACGCGTGCGGACTACTGCTGCAGAATCCCCTTGGTCGAATGGGATCAATGAGAAGTACAACGGTATCATCGCCAGCACAGTGAAGAAGGTGATGGATGACACTCCATGCTCTCTCGAGGTTGCTCTGGCTTGGGCTGTGTCAGCCAAGAACTCTCTTGAGACTCACCTGGGATTCAGTCCTAATCAGCTTGTGTTTGGGCGAAATCCGAACAACCCGGCGTGTCTCCATGACAAACCTCCGGCTCTGGGACCTCCTTCCGGAAGTGATTTGGTGAGGACACACCTGAACGCCATGCATTCTGCCAGGCAGACGTTCATTCAGAACGAGTCGAGCGAGAAGTTGCAGAGAGCACTTCTTCACCAGGTCCGTCCCAGTGGTGAGAGGTTTTGCTCGGGTGATGTCGTCCTGTACCGACGTCACCAAGATGACAAGTGGCGAGGTCCAGGTGTCGTCATTGGACAGGAAAACAAGCAGATCCTGGTGAAACATGGCGGCGTGTACTACAGGTGTCACACAAGCGCTGTCGTGCGCGACACAAGTGAGCCGCGGGAACTGACAAAGCGAGGCCGGATGTCAACTTCGGATCCGGCTCCAGGGACCCAGAAGTTGGAGAAGATCAGTAGTGCTCCGATCCCGGAGTCTGCTGAAGACTCCGATGATGATGAGCAGAACTCCAGGTCTACTTCGTGTACGGTGTCTGGGGACGCAAGACAACGCCAGTTGGTGACGGTATCACCCACTGGCGGTCTGCAAGATGTCGAAGGCGGCTCTGGTTCGGAACCCGGATCGCTAGCTCAGGCTACCAGAGAGTCCAATGCCATGGACAGTGATGGTGGCTCTGGTCCGGAACCCAGTTCGCCAGCTCATGCCACCGGAGATTCCAGTGTCGTGGTCGGTGGTGGCGTCGTCGTTCGTGACAAACCCTCGATACCTCGCGCTAAGTCGCGCATTACCTATGTTCTTCGTGATTCCTCTGATTGGAAGAGTGCCACAGTCCTGAGTCGTGCTGGGAAAGCCAAAGGGAAGTACAAATCCTTTTTGAATGTTCTTGACGATGGTGATGAAGTTGGCAAATGTGTAGACTGGCGGGATGTTGATGACTGGAAGCCTTTGAATCAAGACGTACTGGTGTGCACATCGGATGACATCATGGCGGCTAAATTGTGTGAGTTAGAAAACTGGGAAAAGAATGAGGTGTATTCCGCTGTTCCCGATGAAGGACAACACTGTATCAGCTGCCGCTGGGTGATAACTGAAAAAGGTAATCCTGATGGTAGCTCACGCATCAAGGCTCGACTTGTTGCCAGAGGTTTTGAGGAGGACACATCTGGAGTCCAGACTGACTCGCCAACGTGCGGGAAGGAGTCACTAAGGGTGGTGCTCGCCATTGCAGCCTCACAGAGTTGGAGCTGTCATAGTATCGACGTGAAGGCAGCGTTCCTTCAGGGTTCTCCTCTCGAACGCGAGGTGTTCTTGCGCCCGCCTTCTGAGGCTAACGCAGGGTCACATGTGTGGAAAATGAAGACGTGCGTGTATGGCCTGAATGATGCCAGCAGGTACTGGTACCTGCGTGTCAGACGGGAGCTCCTCGCACTGGGAATGGTGGCCAGCAAACTTGATGCGGCGCTTTTCTACTGGAGAGCTGAGGACGGCCTTGAGGGCATCATCACCTGTCATGTGGACGATTTCCTGTGGTGTGGTTCCTCAAGGTTCGAGAAGGAGGTGATCGAGAAGCTGCGGCAGGTCTTCCTCCTGGGTTCTGAGGAATCTGAAATCTTCAAGTACCTTGGGCTGCACATTCACCAGCAGTCTGATAAGGTGATCAAGGTTCACCAGATGCCGCAGGCTGAGGAGCTGCAAGAGCCAAATCTCTCACCAGAGAGGCGAATGCAGAAAGACAGTGAGCTCTCTCCTGCAGAGCTTACCCGCCTCCATGGCGTGACAGGACAAATCAATTGGCTGGCCACGCAGACAAGACCAGATCTTTCATTTGATGTTTGTGATCTCTCTTGTTCCATTAGGGATCCAAAGGTAGCTGATCTACAAAGGGCTGCTAAGGTAGTTCGAAAGGCTCAGTCGGCGCGGGTTAGTCTGAAATATCCTCATCTGGACTTGTCACAGAGCTCGGTGGTAGTGTACAGCGATGCGAGTTACGGCAATCTTCCAGATGGGTCCTCGCAGGGAGGATACGTTGTGTTCCTTAGAGACAAAAGGGGAAGATGCGCGCCACTTGCCTGGTCTTCAGCAAAGATCAAGCGCATTGTGAGAAGTACGTTGGCTGCAGAGTGCATGGCACTTCAAGATGGTGCTGATGCAGCTGTCCTTTTGGCTGCGCTGATTTCTGAGGCACTGTATGACGGGTCAGGAGACATGAGTGTGATGTGCTACATAGACAGCAGAGGGCTGTACAGGGCACTGTACTCGACCAAGGCGGTGCAGGACAAGAGACTTCGGATTGACATAGCCAGGATTAGGCAGATGCTGGAAGTTGGCGAGGTGACCAGGGTCTGCTGGGTCGACAGTTCTCAGCAGCTGGCAGACAGTCTGACCAAGAGGACGGCATCTTCCAATGCTCTGTTAGACGTGCTGAAGACGGGTATTCTGTAAATCGGGTTAGGTGTCACTATGAGGATGACTACGGTATCGTTGTTGAAGGAGGTGTCGTTGAAGACCTGTTTTGTTGTGACTCGCGTATTGAACAAAAAAGATAAGGGGATGATTGTTAGTTTAATTGTTTACATTCCTGATGTGCTGTATATGTATACGTAAATGTGCACGGTCTTGAGCATGCGCATGTGTCTCTGGTTTCCGCATGTGTTTGGCATGTGCATGTGCATCCCGCGCTATGCATCCCGTGCTATGCCTTACTCATACTGTCTTCATTTACCTTTCAGTTTGTGGTGGGGCTTAAATAAATGCATGCTCAAGAGATATTGATCTTTGTGAATTGAACAGTGATGACCGTTACAAGTCCCTGGAGGGTGTTTCGAGATAGCTCTGCAACTAACGAGGTTCTTCCAGTGTCACAGGGAACGTGCTGTAGTTAGCAACTGCCTGTTGTCAGTAATCACCTCAGCTAAGCAACTAGCGACGTAACAGTAATGTGATGAACTCACGAGAACTTCAGCTAAACGGGACTCACTCGCGTCGTCAAACGTGCACGCAAACAACCGGATGTTGTTGCGAAAAAAAAATAAATGCCTGCAGCGCAATGGACAAATGGATGGCAAATGCAAAGAGCTGCTGGCTACCAGCGAAGATGCGATGCAAGGTAGATGTCAGCCTGATCGGTGAGCTTACCTCTTGGATCTTCCTCTTCTTCACCTCCTCTTCGTCTTCTTCGGACTCGGAGTCGCTGGAGCTGGAGCTCGAGTCCTTCTTCCTGCGCTTCTTCTTCTGCTTCTTACTCTTCTTCTTCCTCTTCTTCTCGCGCTTTTTGGCCATCCTCTCCTCATGCTCCTGTGAGAATCAGAATAAAAGGACCGTCAAATACAATCATGGAATACATGCAACTAAAGAAAAAGAATCGCATCAGGATCTTCATTAAAGCAAGTGGCAGAAAGCATAAAGGCTTTAACATACGAATTCAACGTTAAATTGCCCGGAACCACCATGTTTAAGCGATTGCACAACTGCGGGTCTTGTCTCCTAAATTAGCTTCATCTCCGCATTAACTATTCTTGCAAGTCACTTAGGAGCATTTCAAATTGCGCACCTTGCAAACGCAATCACAGCTTTAAACGAAATACGCTGCCCGAAGAAATCGCACCCATCTGTTCGCTTAGCAATGTAGGAAGTCTAGAGAAAATATATGACACTTTCTCTCACTTGAATTAATCGGAGTTCAACCCTAATTTCACGCTTGGTGGCCTTATTCGATTCAACACCTTCAGAGCCGCACACCATAGCATGGTCCAATATATATCTGGCTACAACCCACCCGTTTATCAATCAACATCTCAACGGCACTCACCACAGCCCACCCCGAACATAAATATGCTACGATCGATTTCTTATCATTCCCACCTACACCAGAAGGCACTCGTTAATGGTCAGACACCAGCCGCGTTGCGTGATCATAAGATCACTGTCCTACCATCGCCGAAATACAAATGAGTTTGAGACTAACTACTCTATTACATGCATAGTAGGGTAGCCTGCTATGTCATCGATTCGCATAGCCCAGTACGTCAGGGACTCATTGACAGCATCAGTATAAATTCTAGGTGGCTTACTATGTCATCGATTCGCAATAGCCCAGTCCGTCTGGGGACTCATAGGGCAGCATCGGTATAATTTTGCGTCGTCACTCATCAGACAACAATAGCCTCTCAGCACAGTTCCCCGGCTCACCTCCATCAGTGTTTTCCTCCTCTGTCGCTCCTCTGCGCCGCTGTCGGTGTCGGCGGCCTGTTCCAGGGCCCCTGCCGTCCCGGCGCCGGAGCCGCCCTCCCCGGCCCCCTCCTCCCCCTCTCCCTCTCCGTCAGGACGAGTGGCCGGGGGCAGGGTGAGCATGTCCGTGGCGTTCACCGCCCGGCCCGCCTCGCCCGTGCAGTACGAGTTCTGGGGAGAGACGTGCGAAGAGTTGGTCGTCGGCCGCTCTGGTTTATTTGCGGTACAGCATATAAAACACGGAAGAAGGTGCAGAATAAACTTGCAGCCATAGTGCTGTCGTTAAAAAAAAAAAAAATGAGGAGAGAGATATGGGCCCTCGGCCACTGGGGTACCTTATACCGTATACAGATCTTAGAGAGATGAGGACATGCAGTGTTAGGCGGCAGCAGCTAACGGAACGGAGGTATTCGTAGAGTTAGCCTAGGGTTGCGTTTGAATGATGTTGGGTGGGTAAGATACAGGCAGCCGTGCTAAATTTCAGCGGATTAACTAGATCTCAGCGTTCGTTGTTCTTGAAGACGAGTGGGACTTTGGATGGTCCGAGAGAGAAGATCTGGAGAAACACAACGAACGATAACTGGTGTGATCCTTAAATAGCATTACATCACAACGTTACCGCATCAAATCCTGTGTAAGTCACTGCATACTAGCGACGTCTGGCAATCTCAGACGGTAACAAAAGGAAATGGTCAGATGTTTGATGTAAACACAAAGTCTAGTGCAAGGAACTGAACGAGTGAGAACTGAGGAGTGAGCAATGGTTCGGACTCAATACTCGAACCATCTAAAAACGAGTACAGCCTGTGCGGTAACATGCATGTAACCGCACAGGCTATGGTTATTGGTTACCACACAGGCTATAGGCTACCGCATAGGCACAGGCAATTGGCTACCGCTCAGTCATATATGACTGAGCGGTAGCCAATAGAATGACTGGAGGCAGACTCTGACCAACAACGGGCCGATCCACGTCCAAACCACCCAGCGCCACCTGGGTTCCTGCCCCGGGCGCCCCGTTCGTGGCTCATCTAACCTAAGATACCTTGAGACTGTAGCAGCAGTGTTGAGGGAGAGGGGCTGGTCACCGTAATCATAGAGGGAGGGGGCACTCCTGGTCAACTGTTCATGGGTGGCGGTGTAGAAAAATGTGCCCGTCGCTCAGTAATTAGCTTACCTTGATGAGACTGTAGCAGCACTTGTAGCCCCAGTGTCCGTCTCGCCAGTAGCTGCCCCAGACGGTCGTGTGGTTGTTGATGTAGACGTCCTCCTCATACTGACTCCGGACCACCTCCTTCTCGGCGCCCTGGGACGTCACAGATGAGGTCAGATACAGTCATAGACCAGTTCCGACACAGAGGGTAGGCGACCGGCGGTATAGTGCACTGAAAGCCAATTTACCGTGAAAACGAAATGAAAGCCAATATTCAGCATATCATCAGTTGACAAAAACCTCTGCAGCCATTGAAAATAAGACCCATAAGTGTCAGTGTATGCTGATTGATTGTTGACAGACAAGAACGTGCTATAACAATAGTACCTGACAGCTAGCATGGTGGTTTGTGAGTTAGTTGAAAGTAAATCAAGCATAGAAGACAAAAATTGCTAAGGAATCATGAACATCATGTGCCCATTGAAACAAACAACTTCCAAATGCAACCCACACTCTCCCACCTACCTTCACAATTTTGCCCTGTCGGCTGTACTCCACATAGTGCTCCGTCTGCGCGAGCAGCAGCTCTCTCGGTGGCGCGTCCAAGTGCTCCTCCCCTCCGTACTTCTCCAACAGACCACCACGAGCCGCGCCCTTCAGCTCAGAGCGCTTTTTGCGGAACTCGCGCTCCAGCTGCTCGAGTTTGGTGGGCTCGGCCAGCGCGTGCACGTCCACACCGCCGGCGTGCGCATCCCAGGCGAACATCTGAGACGCCGCGTGCTTGGTCGTGTCGCCGGTGAACCGGACAAAGTTCTCGCCCTGGTAGTCGACGCTGGAAACGAGACAAGATGCGGGGTAGGTTAGAATAATTGTAAAATAAATGAAAGCGACACAGAGTGGTGGAGGGGTGGAGGATACATGTTCGGTCATCCTAAATGATTACGGCGCGTGCTAGTCCCAAATCTGTAGACCTGAACCTGAAGATCTCGGGCACGAAGCAAGATAGCGACAAGCGGTAGTTAGGCTTGCACATAGATAAAACATAGATAAGTGATACCCACATGTGACAACACGACAGGTCCAAAAATAAAGAGAAGCACACCCCCTTCAAACATGCCCTGAAGTCCAGGTAATCCCATTAGTTACTCACTCCTGTTTGCCGGTGGCCTCGTAGGGGTTCTCCCTCATACTGCGCGTTTTCGGGTCGTAGTAGGCCGAGTCGAGCGCCAGGTTACGCAGGTACTTGGCCGTATCCTCGCGGATACGCAGGTTACGCACAGTGATGCGCTGTTTGGAGTCCACCTTTGTTCCCGGCATGTCTACGCCCTCCGCGTACTTCTCGTCATCCTCGCTAGAGGCGCCACCGTCGTCATACTCCGCCAGCTGAGAACAGAACGATCAGTGAGCAGCGAGATGTAAATCGGGTCTGAAAAACAGCGCACAACTAAATCTTAACAGTGTCCGCAGCACGAGGCTTTGTACCATTAAGCTTACGATTTACACATTGATCAAATACAATTTTCAGAGCCCAAAATGCATTATACTAGGCAGGGCTGCACAATAAAACATCGATAGCAGGAAATGCCAGTTCAAAGTGTTATACACTTGAAACCCTCTTTTCCTCTCCTTACCAGCTCCCGACAATGTATCCAGCACCACGCTTACCTCCTCTCCTGTAACACCGGCCTTCAGTTTGTTGGCCTTCAGCTGGCGCTTGGCCTCCTCGATCTTCCGGTGCTCCTCGAGGATCTGGCTGTGGTCCGACGGGTCGTAGCCGTTCCACCGGTCCCGTTTGCCGTCAAAGTCGAGCGCCAGATTCGGCTGTGCGTGCTCGTCAGCCGCTATGGAGGTACCTGGTGGACGGAGGCGAAAACAGCAGCGTCAGAATATTGTTCAATGAGTCAGATGGCAGCACAAGATAACATGCGAGACTGGACGAGATGCACGAGAAGCTATGATCCTGAAAACAAAGCTGTAACGGAAAATGCGGAAACTGTTACACAGCCATCTGAGAAAAACATGAGGTTGATCATTCTAAGCATTCCCGTCACCTACCGGTGTACTTGGCGCCCGTTTTGCGCGGTCGCTCCAAGCAGTCCTTGCGTTTGTGGGTCATGGCTCCGCAGTTCTCACAGGCTCCCTTCCTGAACTTGGTGGCCACGCGGGACGTATCGACGCCGCGCTTGTACCACTCGTCCAGCCGGGAGAACTCCTTTTGCTTCTCGGGCTGGGGCCGCTGGTGTTTGAGCGTGGGCCCCGTTTGTCCAAAGTACCATGGTGCCGCCGAGATGTATTGCGGGATGTGCGGGTTGATGTCCTTGCCCTCCTCGTCGACGGCCGCCGGCACCGTACCCAGCTGCCGGCGGACGGGAGAGGGCCGGTCAGAGGTCAGCAGACCGACAGTCAGCGGTCAGCAGACCGACAGTCAGCGGTCAGCAGACCGGCGGTCAGAGGTCAGCAGACCGACAGTCAGAGGTCAGCAGACCGACAGTCAGAGGTCAGCAGACCGACAGTCAGCGGTCAGCAGACCGGCGGTCAGAGGCCCGACGGACGGAAAAGGGCAGTCAGCAGACCGGCGGTTAGAGGTCAGCAGACCGGCGGTCAGAGGTCAGCAGACCGACAGTCAGAGGCCCGACGGACGGAAGAGAGCGGTCAGAGGTCAGCAGACTGGCAGTCAGAGGCTCGGCGGACGGGACACGGCTGTCAGAGAGATGGAAAATAAGGATGAAAGGATAGCAAGTTGTCAATATGCGGCAAAATGGTAGTTAGTCGGACCCCAGAGGTCAGAGAAGGGTGGCCGATGCCTGTCAGACACGACGATCAGAGGTCAGTTGTAGATATGGAAGGTCAGGACTGACAAGCAAGGACTGTGAAGGATCAGCGTCCAGTGAAGGGGTGGCAGGCGGTCAGGGGCCAATAGATACAGGCGATCATAGCAGCGTTGGAAATGGAATTGTGGCCTCTTTCTGGTCCTGGCATTTTATTCTCTGGGTGGGTTAGCCCTGTACAGAGTTTAGCCTTTCGGGACCCACTCAGGGCCGCAGTTGTTTCCGCCGCTCGCCCCAATCGAGATGCAAAGTTAATAGTCCACAAAGCTTAGTTAGGGCCCCGGAATCCACGACTTCAAAGTAAATCGATTCTACGAAGCCCTTGCTTTCATCTACATACAAACACTAACAATAATACTGGACTAGGCCGGTTCGGCTGGCCCTAAACAAGCTTCATGTGACCACCAACTTTGCGTCTCGACTAGGGCGACCGGTGAAAATAACCGCGGCTTCGAGCGGGTCCCGAAAGGTTGAACGCTGGACGGGGTTTACCCACCAGAATAAAACGCCAGGACCAGAAACAGACCACAATTCCAACACTGGACAATCACAATGCCAGCAGAAACAGGGAGTAAGGAGCTTCCAGATGGGAGATATGAGTCAGCAGACATGGGCAGCCAAACATTTTTTTACACATGGGAAAGTTAAGGACCAGATGAAGGAAAATGGTTGGTTTTATCATGTCAGACTACATTAAAGACAATGTTCAGGTTCAAATATATGATCCAGATAATGTAGGTTGTGTTTTAACCCGCGCACCGACGGGGGTCTGCGCCAACTTCGCACCGACGGGGGGGGGGGCGGATGACCGCCCCCCCCCCCCTGAGATCTCGAGAACGAAGTAAGATAGCGACAAGCAGTAAACGGCATCGGATACGCACGGTCAAGATCTATAATTTTTACTAAGGTCATTTTCAGGTCAGGTCAAAGATGACGTCACAGGGGTCGAAAAAGTCAAAATGGCGGCGCTAGATATTGAGAGAGTTTTTCTCGAATAACTTTCGAATTAGTCAAGATAGGAACAAACTAAGGGCATCATCGTGATCCTCTCGTCAATCCGCATCAAATGATATATATGTTGACCTCGAAAGGTCAAGGTCAAAGGTTGACCTCAGGTCACGTGACCTCGAGGTCATCATGTATATCATTCGATGCGTCTTGACGAGCTGAACACAATGAGACCATCCACGCGGCTGTATCTTGTTCCTGTACGGAGTTATTGGCCAAAAACCTTTGGTGACCTTTGATGACGTCACATGACCTCACAGCTGCCCAACAGCAAAACAGACCTCAAGGTAGTGAAGGTTGATCGTATATAAAGTCATGTATGGTATATGGGGCCATTCCGACCCGTTTTATTTAGTGGTAAAAATAGGGAGTTGATTTTTCCCCCATTGACTTATAATGGGGAGGTCGCGAAATTGACCTGACCTTAGGTCACCGATATCAAAATTCCGAGGTATACAAATTGAAGCTACTAATGACCTAATAACATCTTGCGACTTTCAAAGGCCTCCGACATCTACTGTAGCTCTAGCACGGTGACAAAGTTGCAAAAAAGTGACTTGAGGTTGGGTCATTCAAAGTGACCTGGTGACCTGACCTTAAAAGGTAGGAGGTTCAAACTTGCACACCATGTGTAAAATTGATGAGGGAATAGTCGTACCAAATTTCGCGACGCGTAGCGCCGCGGTTTTCCCGCTATTCGCGAAAAACCTCAGGGGGGGGGGGGGGCGGATATCCGCCCACCCCGTCGGTGCGCGGGTTAACCCTCGCCCGTATTGGTGTTTTTCCAGCCGCGAACGTATAAGGGGGGGGGGTCCGTTGGACCCCCCCCCCCTCTTGCCGTTTCGCCCCTGATCGAGCTAGAGCTTCGCGGAAAAAACGAGCGTGTTGCCCGTGACGAGAGGAAGCCGATGATACCTAATTTTAAGGTCCTAGGTCATTGGTTGACCTTGCAGGTCAGGTCAATGACCCAAAAGTCGGGAAAATCGGGACCTGTTAGAACGTCGTAAAATGTGGCTGCTATGGGGTTTTTCGGGGCGCTGATCACGAATATCATGTTAGTTTTGATCACAGATGATGTCTTTATGCATTAAGTCCAGGTCGGGTCAGGTCAGGTCAGGTCAACCAGTAGGGGTCCTGCCGGGTATTCCTAGTAGGTGTCAACCGCCTCTGACAGCTTCGTAACATGTTACGAAGGTACCAAAACTACTTCGTAAACGTTCATATGGCTGCTAAATTCGAATTCAGCTCCAAAAACTGGCCTAGAAACATGTAAAACTCGAAAAAGTGAACCGAGGTCACCAAAGGTCAATGACCTGACCTGACCTTCAGGTGACCTTGACACCCACCCTAATGCATGGGGGCAACATCATATCACATGTTTGAACGCTTGAAACCACGAAAAGACTGCAAACGCGCGGCTAATGCGAGCCGACATACGCCGAATCGCGATTCCGGCCAAACATGGTCTCGAAAAGTAGGTCACAGGTCAAAGGTCATTGGGGTCAGGGTCATGAAATTTTCAGGGTAGGTGTAAAATTGATTAACGCGAAGGTACTGAAAGTTTCGTCGTGATCGGCCGCTTTTTACGCGAGTTATTCGCGAAAAACCATGGGGGGGTCCGTTCGCCCCCCCCCCCCTATACGGGCGAGGGTTAAGGTAGAGATGCCAATTATAGACAAAAAGAGACCATTTTCTTGAAAAGCGAAACAGTGACAAATGATTTGAGCACAACATAAAGTAGACTTTACCTTTCTGGCCTCCTCCAGCTCTTTGGCCTGCTTCCATTCTTCTCTTGTCTTCTTCTTTGGCTCCCCGCCATCACCCTGGTCCTTGTTGCGAATTATTGCAGAAACGGGAGCAGTGGATGACTGCGCCATTTTGCTAGAAACAAGAGAAGCATCAGAATCTGCAGGATATAATGATGAGGCTCAAGAAACTAGTTCAATAAAGGAAAAACTAAAACAAGGGATCAGCCACTTGTTAGGCAGGTTGAATTAAGTGTTTTTATTCAGTTCTTACAAACACATCTCATGTGTGTAATGTAGGTATGATGCAATTACATCAATAGCAACTAGAGAAAAGTTAATCAATTCAGTGTCAGAATTTAAAACATTAACTAGGCATTTTTATTTTTTAACCCTCGCCCGCACATGGGGGGGGGGTTGCCACCCCCCCCCCCCCAGGTAGTCTTTCTGCTCTGCACTCAACATTTTTAGAGCTAGAAGGCTGATTTTTCGTATAGCTGCTCCTCTATCCTTTCTTGATGTCCACTGAAAATTTCAAGTTTCTGTGATTTTTGGTTTCGGAGATATGACCTTGTTTTTCAGGTCATGTCATGACCCAAATGGCCAATTCTCAACATCTTGCGTTTGCCATGGGCCTTATGAGCTTTTGACACCCTGATTTCGGCCTTTTTTGCCAGTCTTACCTCCTACCTATCATGGAACATGTTGTTCGACGATGTACAGGGGTCAAGGTCAGGGTCAAGGTCAACCTAGGTCACCTAAGATAATTGCGTTTGAGGCAAACTGAATTTACTTTTTTTGAAGTTTTTTTACTGCATTTTTGGTAAAAGCTTCTCAGATCATGATTTCATGTAATATGGACCCAAAAACAATCGGTGCACACATCAGTATACACACAGACACACACAGACATACAAACACATATAATTGACCTTGACCTAACTTGACCTGAAATGACCTCAGCAGCAAAATTCTGGTCAGATAGTGTGACAAAGAGGTTCTAGCTGGCTTGGCACCAGAAAACAGCATCGTCATCGGTATTTGATAAGCAGCACACTTGATATCCAACGGTGACCCAAAACAGCAACATTTTTTAGTTTGACCTGACCTGGAAGGTCAATGACTGACCTGAGAAGGTAAAACTGGGTATCAATGGATTCGTCTGTTCCCAAAGAATCTTTTTGGTCCTTACTGCTAAGCTCTATCTCCAACAGGAACGAAATGGCGCGGGGGGGGGGGTGGCAACCACCCCCCCCATGTGCGTTCTAGGATGGGAAAATGGCATGTGCGGGCGAGGGTTAAGTTTTCTGTTTGCAATTTACTAGAATGGAATTCACAATAAAGATTACATCATTGGTAGCTACAGCAGTAATTTCCTGACCCAGTAAGGTAGGTAACTGGCTTGGAGTGAAGAGTGAGGTCTTTGGTAGGTGTCAACTGTTAAGTACCTACCTATGTGTAGTTAGGAGCTAATTTGACCCTGTTTCATTGCATAGTGCACTCCACTCACTAATACAATTCACAAGCTACCTACCAACACAGAATGTGATTGTGATAATAAATATATCATGAGTCTGGGGAGCATTAAATCCCTCTTTTGCGCCCTCACCCTAGGCTAAGCCTATTTGCTCAGTTTTAGAGAGTAAAAAAGTGGAAATGACCCTGGGGAGTAGAGAGCAATACTGACTTTTCATCTACTCTACAATAGTGTTAGGTAACTTAAACTCATTTGATAACTCATTTGTCACTTGTCAGTCAAAAAAGGGCATCCGAGTTCAAGTTTGATGTCTCCATCGAAACTGAAAGAGCAACTACCTGCATACTTAGTTCAGTTCTCGCATTTGGTTTGAACTTTGAAGTGCTACAATGCAGAGGCCAGTTTTACAAACAGAAAAATAGCCGCCTGCCTGAATTTTTTACCTTAAGACCGTTTCACATACTGAATGCAAACACGATGGGCACGTATATCGAGCGCGGATAAGGCTTTGCCGTTTACGGTCTGTATGTGAAGCAGCCTTAAGGAAAAATTCCAGCAGGCGGCTATTTTTCTGTTGGTAAGACTGGCCTCAGGATCATGAATTGAGTGTTTATGAATCTCAATCTGAGGCCAGTTTTACCAACAGAAAAATAGCTGCCTGCCAGCAGAAACTGGCCTCTGGAATAAAACCACTCATTTTCTGAAACTAAAACCCTTACCCTTGTTTCTACTGCCGCGCCTTTGCTCCTACAATTATATTGATATGAAGCAAAAATTTAATGCACCCGCAAATCCATTGATCGAATCCTTTGGCTTTAACTTCACTCAATTAACCTCTGAAATTGAATCAATAACCTCAAATAAAATTGGAATTACGTTGGAATTACGGGCTCTCTCTATCGTCTGGATAAAAATAGGCCCCGCCCATCCCAATCAGCTGCTGTATGACGAGTTGATGACGACAACCACTACTTACCAGCAACCAATCTAGGGATAGCGTACGTGACAGTAATGGTGCAGCGGTTGCAAAATATTACATTGTTATTCAAACGGTTTTTGCTTTTAGGGCCTTGTTGTTTAACCCATCTGTGTTTTATTGTATTGAGATATGTGATTAGTAGATGAGGTGTTGATGAGGGCAGGTATTTTTTAAAAATATTTTTTTTTGACAATTTTTTGCCCTTCTTCTACTTAATAGCTGAACCCGGGGCCACATGAAGTCTAAACCTTATTTACATAACATGTCAATGCTGATGCTGTCTTGAAATGTGAAATTTAGACAATGGTAATAGGAATAATGAATAGCAATTTCACCAACAACTTGTTAATCTCTAGGAAGTGCAATTAAAATTAAAATCACTGTCTGCCACACTGCTTCGATCCTGGTCATGCAACCAACATTCATGGGTGGTGTTTCACGGCAGAGCACTGCAGTGCGCTGCGTGTGTCAGAGCATTGGGTTTCCATGGCAGTGTCAACAAACTTCACTGTGACGCTAAGCTATGACAGCATCCCAGAACGCTAGCATGCTGCGGTACCAGCACCAGCAGCATGCTAGCAGTATTTGAACTCAAACCTCTGTTTTTGGTACAGTTTTTCAGAACCTCTCACTCTGTTCCAAACGCGATTCATCATAAACTAAGAGATCACATGCAACGTCATTTGAGTGATGCTATGGTATGCCGTAGCTACCAGTGCACACAGTGTCTGGATGGTGAAACAGGGCCATTATTAATCACATTTGCTTTGCTTTGTTTCAGCAGAAACCTGTCTGCACATGGGAGGAGTGCAACAAAGGCCCATCAAGTTCATGCATGGCAGTGGATCTCAACAGGAGAAAACCAGAAAGAACATGGATGCTTGTAGATTGCAGTTGTACACTGCTGTTATCACCTGATATGCGTGGCTGGCATTGCTCCTGGCAAGAACCACCTGCAAGTGATGAGATGGTGCCTCAGTCGTTAAGTGTGCTGCAGTGTGAGAGGCGCCCTGATCTCTACTTTGTGATGGGTTTCCATTGGAGGTTCAACTGAGAAGTGAGAACTGACTGTGACCATGCTTGAGCATGCCAGTGGAGCTTTACATGCTTAGGGAAGCTTTTGAACAGATGCTGACCATGGCATGTCCCATCCAGTTATCACGTGCACAGAATGGTGGGGGAGGGCAACTCTGGGCTCTTGAGTCAGCCCTACTGCACATGGGGTACAGATGGCCGCTTACGTTTGGTGTGTCCTGCACTGCATTATCAAGCCCAGTCTGCTGCCACAGGCAATGGGTCGGGCTGCACTATATTAAAGGCAGACTATCTTGTAAAGGAGGCTGGCATCCTCTCCCATAATGACACACCAATTGGCAATCATCGCTGCGATGATCACGAGGGTGTCCGCTTATCTAACATGGTGAGGTGGAGAGCCAGCTCAAGCTGGCCTGAGGGATGGTTTTACTTCATCTGAGGCCCCCTTTCCCCGCCTGCCAGGTCCGGTCAAACGACCGCTTCACAGTGAACGACTTGCAGTGGATGCCGTCCCACAGCGCAACGAGCGCGCCGACCAGAGGCGGCGGCCAAGAGGCGGCCGCGCTCCCCCAGTCGACGGTCCCGGTGGACGTCGGCAACGCCCACCGTGCGACCATCAGATCGGCTCGCGACCGCGCCGTCGCCGACTGACCGCATGACTGGTATCTGTTCTTGATGTGGGACCGACTGCCACCGCCGGTCGCGGAAGGGCATCGCTCATCGGCCATCGACGTCCACCAGCTTCGCGTGGGTCACTGTTCGGGCTGCCACCAATACACCGAATCGGATGGAACCCTGTCGGCGAATGCCGGCGGTGCCCCGACATCGACTGCGCGGCGGCCAGTGCATCGCGTGCCGGGAGGAGGCTGGTACCCCCGATCGGTCATTGGTCACAAACCGTGTCCCAGCTCATGACTGCATCCAGCGCAGCTCTGTGAGATGTTCTGCTGCAGTCTGCCGCGTGTGTTGAAAGAAGAATGAACATGAGAAAACCTCAAAACTTTATGCCTATTAGTATTTGACCAGTATTGGAATAAGTTTGGATTTTGAGAATTTGTGTCCCTGTGCTTGTGCCTGTGTGGAAAGGAATGCTTTACGGTGTACCATCTCAATTTGTGCGGCTGCTGACAGGCCACCTGGGTGCCAACGTATGTGCGAATCCGCGAATACGTTGTGTTTCGTCAGTCGGTATCGTTCTGAAAATATTGACTGCAATAGGCTATATAGCGTATGACGGTTCAGCCCAGCAGTAATAACTGACCATTGATTGGGCGAATTTTGTGTGGTGGTTCGCTAATACATAACCTAAAGAGTGTTTTGCCGGAATCGTTTAGTAGCAGAACTGACCGGAATATAAGTAGAATGCAACGGTTTGAATCGTTAATTTGTTGAAACGATTGTTCTCTGAGACCACTGTGTAACTTTTGACCTGAGAATCACCAATTATAACGACAACGGTGGAAGCAGTAGGCACTGTAGAGTGTAGGCAACACTATATAGTTGGCACACTTACGCAAGCACACGACTTACGCAGTGGACATCTGCATCATGCATGTTAAGGTTTACTGGGAAGAGTGAGAAATAAGTCAGAATATAACTGACTAAGGAAAATAGGCGATATTTCCAATTGAGCTGGGGCGGAGAGGGGGAGGGGACGTATGGTCAGCTTTGCCAATAATTCATTCTCGTTATGCAGCTGTGTAAAAGGGCGTCCGTTTTTTGGGGTGAGACCTTCCCCATTGGCCATTTCCAAGCTAAATCGTGGTGGATAGTCTGGAGACCTCAGCCTCGGTAGTCGGTACCCTGCGCGCTGCGCCACCTTGCGAAACATAAAGCAGCGGTCCTGTCATCTGCAGGCGTTACTTTTCATGAAAACGCGGATGCGTTCGCGCTTATGCGAAGAAAATTCTTCCGAGTATGGTTGATAATGAGATTAATTGTTGTCATTTATTTATTAATTCATTGGCAAAAGTACCCTAATAAATCGGTAAAGTAGCTTAAACTGTATCGTATTTCCTTGAGAAAAAAATGACGAACTCATCCTAAGACATCCAGATTATTGGATGCGTTCGTCAGTTGTAATAGTTCAAGTTTTTGGAAAAATTTGCTTGTGGAAAACCATAATATTTCAAAGATATGCCTATTTTCGAATAATTTATGCATTTATCTGCATTGACAAATGATTGTAAAGCAAAAGTGTAAAAGATTATTTCAATTTATTTTCTCAAATCACGATTTACGAACGCACAAAACTCCAGCTTTTTATTTAGTGCGTGTGCGAATTGCGGTCAAGAAAAAAGATTTAAACTGTCTATATTCCTCATAAAACAATGAAGGATGAATGCGGAAAACGCTCTTTTGAACAATTGTATATTTATTTTTTCTCAATTAAGCAAAAGTACAAAATTTTCAACTATTATTACATTTGCTCTCACAAAACCCATCACTTTTAAGCATGACGTCATGTCAGCCAAATTTACTAGCGCCATCTCTGGAGAGCATCTTTCGAAACCTCCAGACGATAGAGAGAGCCGAATTACGACTCTCAAGCAACTCTCAAGCATTGCTCAAGCAGCTCGAAAAAGTGACGAAAGTGACTGATACTTGCGCCACTTTTGGTGCTAAGGTGTTCTATAAGTTGGCGTGTCCTGCTAGTAAATACAATATTTTGCTGGTTTCCATAACAATTTGCGTTTTCTTTTAGGTTTTGTAGGGGCTAAACAATCTAAATTAGATTTCCAATTCAGCAAAACATTTTTTAGTCATTTTAAAATTCAATCATTTCATTTGCTATCAAAAATATCCAAAATTGTCTTGCATTTAAAAGGATAAATTTTGGTACAAAATGTAGAATCAGCCAGAAACAGTGAAATTGAACAGAACAGCTGCATCCGGTGCATTGCCTTGATTGGATCAAGATTGGATTGCATCAATATTGTATTGGATCAACGATTAACAGCTGCATATCTATCATATCTATTAAATCTATTTCAATTTTTCAGTTTGCAGTGGATTTTGCTTCATTGTGAGAGGATATCGATATCAGCAACTGACTGACATTGCGTCTGTTTCTTTGGTGAGTCTAAATCTCAAGCTAAATCTGTGAAAGTTTTTATTAAGGATAGCAATTAAATTGATATTGATAGTTGTAATTGATATTGGGTGCCTTAAAGGAAATAGTTCACTTTCCTGAAATTAGTATTTTGCTATGGATTTGTGTTTTTTATGCTCAAAATGATCAGAAAATAAAACAAAACGTTTTTGTAAAAAGGATTATTTTCTATATTTTAGTATAAGAAGAACTATATTCTATATAAAATAATGTTTGACGCGGAAGCTTATTACGCGTTGACCAATCATATTGCGTAGGACAAACCCATCGGCTGTAAGCAGCATTCTGATTGGCTGACGATGACGTGACTGCATTCCTCAGCAAGGCACGCATTCCTCTGCAAGGCACTCTTTTCGGAACGAAAAATGGAATATCTTCGTCTAGGGTGATCGTTGGGCCGTAAAAGCTTCTGATTTGTGCTAGTCTCAGCGCAAGCAACAAAACTGCTATTCCAGTTCCAAACCCCATGTTAAAAGTGAACTATTTCCTTTAAGCTGCAGGATATAGATTGGTTATCTCCCAATCACCCTTTAAAAAGTGTTTTTTACATTGAAATTGAGTGCGAGTTTGTTTGCTTCAAGCCAAATTGAAACTGAAATTGAATTGGATACAGCTTCAAGTTACTTGTTGTTGTTCATATTTTGTTGTAGCTCTTGAGCATTCCCACCTCATCCTTCAAAAAGTAAAGCTGTTTCATCAACATGTAGAAGGCATTCCAATTTTTGGTATTTATTGCATATATTTTTAACTGTTAGGTATTTATGTTTATAAGGAAGAGTAGGGGCCCTAGCATAGAGCCTTGGGGTACTCCTAGCTTAATAGTTTGAAAAGAGGGTCTAGTACTCTTAAATTCTAAGCATTGATGTCTGTTTGTGAGGCATGATTTGATACAGCCAAAATCCCTACCTAAATGGTGTTTTTTAGTGAGTTTAAACGAATACCACCAGCAGTGTCCCAAAATTGAGTTTTGTCTTGGGTGTCAGAGGGGAAAATTACCCACCAAAAAGAGGGGAGAGAGAATGAAAAACTGCTCATTTTATTAGATCCAAAAAGAGTGAAAAATAACAAAAAGAGTGAAAAATAACAAAAAGCATGCATTTGATTCTAAGGTGTAGGATGCTTGATGCTAAGCTGGGAATCCACACAACTGCTCTTTCTACAGGCAAAAAATCTAGATTTTCTTGGTTGGGAGTGGAAAATTGTTCTTAAAAATTGGTGGCGAGAGTGGAAAATGAATTTCATTTGGATGTCTTTACCCACCCAAATCGACAAATTTTGGGACATTGACCACCAGAGGTGTGTTGACAGATGAATGATTACACCAGAGTCAGCTTAGTTTATCTCTGGTTCGATAAAGACTGAATAAGGATTTTCATTTGTTGAATTTCAAATCAGCTATGGCATTTTACCAAATGTAATAATTTTTCTCTTTCTTCCAGCCTCCATTGGTGATTTATTTCATTGGTACTTTAATGCTGGCAAAGTACCCATGTACCTAGTTGGAGTTGATTAACATATTGATCATGTGAGGTAGAAGGTGCAACCAGATGACAGGGAAAGGAGATGAGAGGGATTATTAATGTTAGGGGAAGACAGTTTTTTGTGAATGGTGCTGAATTAGGTGATGCCACATTCAACCATAACATTAGAGTGTAAATCATTTAATTTTTCCTCAATTATTGCTATTCTTGGCATCTCATGACTTTTTTTACATGTAGCCACATATATGATGTTTATATTAAAATTAGCAATTTGTTTTTGTTTTAAAACATGCTTTGTTTTGAAGATTTTTTAATTTTGGAGTCAAGACAGGAGCCTGCTAGATGACCATTGGTCATGGGCTTGGGCTGCCTATCCTATTTCTAAGGCCTTGGGATGGGATTGGGGAAAGGTTGCAGGAAACCAAACAGCTATCTGTACCAGTACCCCACCAATCAACATTCCACTACCTATCTGTAGTAGTTTGAACAAAGGTCATATTGTATAAGCCAGATTATTTTGTATAATCATATTGTATAAGCCAGGTGGTACAGAATGTACTAAATGCTGGCCTTTTACTATTATAATCATTGGTTTAAGTTGGTGGTTTGTGTATGATTTCAATACTGATATGACACGAATGGATCATTGATGGTGATGTGTTATGATCTTTCTTCCTGTCCTGCTTGACCAATGACCATGATATTATTTTTTTCAGCAATGTAAAGAAGACCAAGGATTGGGAATGAACATGGGTAAGTGCTCATCCTATAGTATCAAGTAGTTTTCTGAAGCATTGCTTTGCATACCTGCTGCTGCAATGCAGTGAATGTGAAATTTTTGAGTGGACAATATTTGTTCCTTATAGGAGCTCAGGTATTTTGGACATTTGATGGAAGTCCTTTGCCTCAAACCCATGGTGTTTTCTAACTCCCTTATTTCATTTAGACAGCACTCATCAGAATAGAGAGATATAAATTCATGTCAAACATAAATTGTAAGATGTCTTAATTGCTCTATTATCTTTGGGATATGTGTTAGTCACATTGGGTGTCTGGGACTCGTGTCTTTTTCCTAAAGTACCTGTTCGCGCGCCGTCAATGAGAAACGTCGTTCACGGGCTCTCAGTCCTCTATATTTTCTCCTCCATTCCTCCTCCTTCTTCCAGCGCTAACGGCCTGAGCCGATACCACAGAGCCTCGTACAACAGGAGCCAGGAGCCAGGAGCCTGAGCCGAGCCTGAGCCGAGCCGTAACTAAAACACGCATACACACAAACAAAACAAGGTAAGTTCCAGACAAATAAATCCGTATCATAACATTGTTCAGTCGTATCACGATAATTTCAGAATAATAAGCAAAGCGCTTCACAATAACATCCGACATTTGGTACGATTTAGTGCTTACCGACAAATTGTCACTCTCCGGCGTAACGAACAGTGTTCATGCTTAAATTCATAGCCAAAATTCTTCCTTTTCACTCAAACAACATTTTTGCCAGTCATCAATCACATCTTTCGTCTTTATCTTTCGTAATTATTCATATTCTAGCCAGACCTTGTCAAAATCGAGCCGAAAGAAAGTAAACAAAACAAAACAATCCGGTAACCATAGCAACATAGCGTAGTTACCATAGGCGGAGGGCACCGCCGCTGAGCGGCGTCGCAACGGCACCGCCGCTGGGGGCCGTGCGGCGCTAACAGTACCTATGAAAGTAATAGTTAAGCTGCCAATGATATTCAATCAGCAAGTCATAGATGAAAGGCTTCTCTCCTACCTGCGAAAAGTAGAATGCAATACAAGAAAAGAAAAGTGCTCAGAGTTCTTTACCGTGGTATATCGACGAACGATAAATCTGATCCTACTTGACTGAGCCCCAATGAAGCCCCACATGTCATGCTTGTCACTGAAGTTATATGTTGTGAGTCTTCTGTGCCAGAATACTGTACCTTGCTTGTTACTATCCAGTCTTCATCGTACTTTCAGCGCTACTGTCTCGTCTACCATTGCGTGCGTTCCTTTCGCGGCCGTCCTGATCCTTCCTAGAAGTAACCAACACCATCCTTCTCCCTACCCGGCCCCCGGTGGATATCGTGCATCCCCTTCCCAGTGTGAGTCGGAGGTCTGTGATGATGTTAACACTGGAGATACTCAGACCCGCGCTGCAGGTGTTCGGTCGGCTCCTCGACTGCGTGAATCAGCTCGCGGCGCACGGTCGGTCCGGTGTGGAGGGAGTGGTGTGAGCTCTGCTTTAGCTTCTTCTCTCGATGTGTTGTGCTGCGTTTATGTGAAGTGAATCTGCGCGGACTGTATTGTGCCCAACGCTCAAGAGAGCCAAGGCCTGGTCTGTTTTCTCGGTTTTCTGGGCCTATTACCCTCTTGTGATGATCTATCTGACGCCCGTTGTGTTCCGTTTCAGCGAATATGTTTCTGAGCACGCTCAGTCCCAAGTTTTACGTGGCCCTCACGGGCACGTCTTCGCTGATCTCGGGACTGATACTGGTAAGCGTGGATGGCATAGGTGTAGCAACGTATCTCTTTGGTGAAGGATACCTTTCACCAAAGTTTCAGATTGGTGAACGATCCTTCACCAATCTTGGACAATGCAAGGGCGGGTCTTCACCTACCTATGCTTAGAACTACTGGATTCGACGGTTGATCAAATGTCTGTTTTTTAAAGGGACCCTCCTACCTTCAAAAAAGTTAATGAATTGGCATGAAAGTGATGTCCCTTGGCTCAGAAAGAGCGAAAACGAATATCTACCAAATTTCACCGAAAAATATTCACTGGTTTTCAAGATATTAGGCGTTTACTTTTGTTTACTTTTTGGGATCTCCCCTGTTACTAGCGACTTTATTTGGAAGCAATAATTTGGCAGCCTTAAAGTGCGGCAGACGTTGCGCGCAAAGCAGCGTATACCACCACGTGTTAACGATGGTTTTAGTCTAAGATTTAAAAATCGTTAGATCTCCGCTGACGTCACAAATTCTAAGGGGGCAATGCATTAGCCCCTTAGAATCCGAAAACTGCAAGTTTGAAATTCCATATCTTCGAATTAAAGCATTTTTCGATGTTGTGAGTGCCCAAACCGGTATTTGCAGGCCATGGCCACCAATTTGGCTATCTCAACTCAAAACTAATGTTAAGGTGGGAGTGTCCCTTTAACCCGCGCCCGGCTGGGGGTCCTGGATTTCCACGCCCTGCTGGGGGGGGGGGGTGTTTGAACCCCCCTTCTAACTCGGCTCCTGGGCCACGTAGCGATACGCGGAAGGCGGCGTTCGAAAGAGCGCCAAAAATAATGACGAAATCACTTTGGTCACTTTTTTGGTCAGGTCAAAGGTCAGGTCACCAGAGGTCATTGAAGGCAAAATTTCGCCTATTTCCAGGTCGAATGTCGACAATTTCCAAGAAGCCAACGCATAGCTCGGGAAGCAATAGAGCTACAGCGCCACGAAAAAGCGCATTCGATAGCCCTATTAACGCCCTTTCTGAGTAATTCGCTCAGATTTGACCTAACGTCAACGGTTTTGCCTGCAGGGGGCAAAAACTGCCAAAATAGACGATTTTTCGGGAACAGTTTTTCTGCAATAACTTTTGACTCAAGCCTTGCACGAGCTTTCTTTTACCGACATCGTGTTCCTCTTGTCAAGACGCATCGAATGAACTATAATTTGACATTGAAAGTTCAACTTTTCATGTCAAAATTTGACCTCTGGTCAAGGTCATGATTTGACCGGACATTGTCATGTTGCATATTAGTGGATCTGTATCGTTGAGCTGAACATATAGGTATAAGGCGTTTTCATCGCTCTAGCATGCCTCTTTCAAAAGTTAGTCGCAAAAAACTGTTAGATACCATTCGTGACCTGAGATGACCTCAGGGGCATAAACAGGGGTCACGGGTGCCGTTTTCATGTTCAGTGTGCCAAAGTTACTTGTAATTTAGTGTTTGAGAGTGCTTAGAATGACTTTCGTCCGAAAAAGACGGTTTTGAATTTTCTCCCATTGACTTATAATACCTAGAGGTCGCAAAATTGACCCGACCTTAGGTCACCGATATGAAAATTCCGAATTTTGTACATACTGTTGCACTTATCATTTGCTGAAAGCTTCAAAGCGATCCGTCACTTGGTGTAGCTATGGCATACATTGAAACATTTTATGATGTGTTTATGAGGTGAGGTCACTTGTAGCGACCTGGTGACCTGACCTTGAAGGACCCTGGTCTGAAATTTTCACAAAATGTATAACATTGATAGGTGATAAGGTGCCGCCGTTTTTCAGATATCCGCGAAAAACCACAGGGGGGGGGGGGGGGGTGGGTGGGTGTTCAAAAACCTCCCCCCCCCCTCCCAGCAGGGCGCGGGTTAACACACTTTGACCATTTGCCCCAGTAGTCAAAATTCCTTAGCCGAGGCCCTGATTTACATCTTGCTGTCATGGCAAGATGCACAATTCAATTTTAGGCAGGCAATGAAAATTTGACGTTAATGGGATGATAAGGGCGTAAGATATCTTCGAAAAACAAGGGGTTGGCGAAATTCGCCCCCCCCCCCTTGCACTGTGCGTGTTGGTTGGCACGGTCCTGTCCCTTTTCATAAGGTTCAGGTGGCATCCTTCACCAATATTTTTGGCGCTCCTACACCCATGGTGGATGGTGGGTTTGCAGTGCAGGCTTGATGATGTGGAGAGCTTTGTTTGTGTCTCTGGTGCTAAGGGAAAAGACGTATATGCTGTAGTACGTTGTAAGGGGAAGTCTGGTGCAGTATGTAGTGGATGGTGGAGAGTCCCTGGTTCTTTGGACCTTGGTGACCCTCTCTTTTGGTGGGGCGGGCTCATGTCCGGTACAGCGAGAGGAGAGCTCTAGCTTAGCAGAGGTATGGTGGAGGGTGAGAAAGAGTATGGTGAAAGGACAGAGTGATAAATCAAAAGGCTTGATAGTGCACTGGACCTCTAGTCGAGCCGCTAAGGTCGAGTGGGGAGGCAGTCTGTGGAATGTCATCACGTGATACCACCGTGCCGCCCGCTCCGGTGCATTGGCGCGAGCCCAAGTCCCGGAATGTGTATAATATGCATGAAGTGTCTGTTTATGCTTGAATGGATCCTGCCAGCTATCAACTGCAGACAGCACTGTATTGCTGATCGTTGGTAGTTGGTACATTTATGCTATTACTATCGCCGGGATCGCCTTTGTTTACTCGGTTCTCACTTCCCGCTAAGCTGCTCAAACATTTGTTGCATTGAGGTCACGGGTATTTTTTATGTCGATAATATTGTTCGACAAATGGACAGACCTTTTTTTTGGATTTATAAACCTTGCTGACATCTGCCACCTTTTTTTCTGACATATGACGATTGACGATGGATGGTGGGTGGGCACTGGGCATTGTTGGTGATTGTAAATACATTATTTGCGTCTCCTTGACAACGAATGTAACATAACAGTTGTAAATGCTCTATCCCACACCCACATGCTCACATCCACACACAGAGATGCTTCTGCGACGCTGTCAGTTTACTAATGCATCGTTTTCACTTTGTTGATTCGTTCTCATCTAGCACTGACTGAACAATTACTCGGCGACTTTGATTACGGCTGCCGTCATCTCCGCATATTTTGCCGTACCGCCGTCGTTATTACGATATCTTAGGTACAGTTTCCTGGAGTGTTCTATGGTGTTATGGTGTGGCTACTGGCTGCTGTTACACCTAAGAACTTCTTACTTAACCTGCTTGCTTCTGACTGCCGCTCCCGCTGTGTCCGACAGATATTCGAGTGGTGGTACTTCCGCAAGTACGGCACCTCGTTCATCGAGCAGGTGTCGCTGACACACCTGAGTCCGTGGCTGGGCGGCGGGGACCCGGCGACTGAGGGCGCCACCGCAGGGGCAAACGGCTCGGACGGCTCAGACAACGGCAGCAACAACGGAGATGGACAGTCGCAGACGCCAGGTATGTATGGAAAGGAAAGGGAGGGATGGAGTGTTGTTAGGGAGGGGATGATCGGACAACTGCAGAAATAACGGAGATGGACATTCACAGACGCCAGGTGCGTACTTACTGGCGAGGAGAGGGAGGTATGGAAAAGTGGAGGTAGGGAGGGAAGGAAGAGGAGGCTCAGACGACGGCAGCAATACCGGGGATGCGCACACAGGGAGGGAAGCGATAGGGGCTGGTGTGAACTAACTTTCCGTAATTGAAACATGAAACAGAACAGGCGCTTGGTGTGGATACAGGCACTGGGGCAGACGTAGGGGCTAGGGAAACGACGGGATATCGTGGAAACGACGGGATATCGTTAAATGATTGCGTAGTAGGTATAATGCGTGGAATACAAGCAGCATTGTGCACAAAGTTGACGTCTGTGGCCTCCGCTTTTCTTGCTCTCGTCTAAATCCACGTTTTAAAGAAGCCTTCAAAATGGAACCGTTGACTGATCCATGGTAGTTCTCCCCACTGCTCGACGTGGACCTGTGTAACTCTCGTATAATCACTCTCTCCCTCCCCCCCCGTCGAGCCTTCCTCCTCCTCCCTTTGCTTCCATCCCTCTCTCCTTCCTCCCATCCCCGCGGCTGCGAGCGTCGCGGACCCGGATACCGCAGCTGATTGGTCGCCGAATAAAACTGCCGATGATAGAGGCACGTTTCGTATCCTGTTTCCGGGGCGTACTGATATAGCAGACTTATGCAGGATGTACGTACGGACAGTGTCCTGAAGTGTTCGGTTCAGTAATGGTGTGGATACTGGAGTGTTCTTTTCGTTCGCCACTTCTTGGGTGTTCTCATTTCATTCCTATGTTGAGATAGCGTTATTGTTAGCTGTCAATAATCTTGTTTGGTGTAAGTGTACGTTGGGCTCGTGCTCCACACCTCATTGTAGTAGGTATAGCTATTTTTACCTTCGCCTTTTTATAAGGATTTATTTTTTATTTAACTGTGCTACCTAATCCTTTTTGATATATCCCCACTTAGTTCCAAGGAGAAATGCAGCGCACTTGAAGACAACAATTTAGTCAGTACCTTGAAGCCATTCATTGTCGAATTCAGCGAGATTTCCATCTTTTACTTCCGTTGCAAAATCCGCCCTGGAGATAAGTTTTTGAGCAATCACTCTGTACTGGTAGATTTATTGCTTGATTGTTAGGAACTTCAGCCACTCAAGTGCCTTTCAACCAAAAAAGCATCACTCGCCTGATATGATGAGCGGTTTGATCGTCTGACGACTGGCCTTTTGAGTGTTTATTTCAGCTAATTTACTGCATGACTAGTGAGTCAAGTACCATTTAATACAGTATCAGCGTTTTTGTTGTAAAGACCAGGGGCTCTGGATGGATTTTTATGAGCAAACTCATCAGCTAAACAAACCAAACAAGCCATAGCGCGTGTCCGTTATCTATCGCACCATTTCGCCATGCCACTTCAGCGCCAGCCGTATTTCATCTGAGATGGTTTCATTCTTCTATAAGTGGAACTCATCTCGAATTCTGCTTTTTGTCGAGTCGTAAAGTCGGTACTATGTCTGAGTAAACCGTTGTTGCTAAGAGCGGTTTTATTTTGCTTTTGACTTTGTTAATTATCCGTACGATATCGCACTATCTGAAGAGTGTTCTAGTTAGTAGTCTTTACAGCCTGTTCGCTGTTCGTGATGCCCAGATATTAATTTCCTTATAATGATGGACTTTTTTTCTTTTTTTCAGAATGTAAAATGTGGAGAAATCCGTTAAACTTGTTTCGCGGCGCCGAGTACCAGCGGTTTCAGGCGGCCCGAAATCGAGAACCACTGACGTACTACGATATGAACCTGTCGGCTCAGGACCACCAGACGTTCTTCACGTGTGACGCCGACTCGGGGAAGCCCGAGTATGAAAGTGAGTGGACGAAGGCGATCGCGGTCTGTTGGTTTCAATGAATGTGAAGCACGAATTGAGTAAAGGTTGCAAACTTGCAACATCTTGTGAGGTGTTATTGTGAAAGACAAGTACCAACAACACGCGTTGTTGTATTCAGTGCAGCACCCAAATCTTGAATTTCTCCCGCACTGTAAATCAGTACGACCCTGCTGACTTACCACTAGGAGTATCAATAGCGGCACTTTTGATTGCTTACCGCTATGCTGTTTGCTTTCGTTGAAGGCCGCACCACGAGATTACGCAATGTTTGAGAGACAAGCACCTTGTTGAATATCATATTGGTCTAAAATCACGAAGGGTGTTTACTGTTTATTGTTTGGCCCACCAGTATTCTCATAAGAGCTTCAAACTAAACTACTCGCTCCGCTGTCGTCTGAACCACCACTTACCCCTTCCATCACCCGCCGACAGTCATGCAGACGGCGTGGCGAGAGCGTAACCCGGAGGCGCGTATCCGACTGGCCAAGGAAGCTCTGGAGAAGAGCAGTGACTGCGCGGCCGCCTATATCCTACTGGCAGAGGAGGAGGGTACGACTATCCTGGAGGTGGAGCGTATCCTCAAACAGGCACTGCGCGTGGCTGAGGCCAACTTCCGCAAAACGGTCATCTACCGCGACAGCAACTCGCCACAGGAGAGTCTGCACAGTGAGTTGGAGGGTGTGGGGCAGGCTGGCTGGGTGGGCCTGGTGATACTGTTGGGTGGCGTTGGAGCGGTGAAAGGGGGATGGCAATGAAGTACCGTCTGCTGGAATGTCTCCGTGGTAACTGGTAAACAACTAATTATCGGAAAAGAGTGGTGGCTGAAGACATTGACGCGAAAATGATGATGTTACTCATTAACCTTATTCATTCTTTGTTACTCGCACCTGACTACTGAATAACTCACAAAGCCATTTGGTAGTAAAGCTAAACGAGATCAGCGACCGTTCAGTGGCCAGCCATTTATAGCCTGTCGCAGCGTTGTGACGCCGTTCTCCCTGCCCCAGGACGCGACATGAACGTGCTGATCTACGTGAAGCGGCGGGTGGCCATGTGTACCCGCCGGCTCGGCCGGCTCAAGGAGGCCATCAAAATGTTCAGAGACGTGAGTGACCGCACACCAGCTTCCCTTCACCTTGCCACATGTGTGGTGGTGATTCTGTGTCGTTTTTCCCCAGTCCCTGCCCTAGGTGTGAGACGGTGGTGGACAGATTTGAAGCTTCAAAATCTACACAATTGGTCTTATTTTGTTCATGTTATAATAATTAATCGATTGCTGACACGGGTTTCGCGTAGTTTTGTACGTAGGAGCTAAAAATTGATAGCCCTGTCATGAATCAGACTTTCCCTCTCTTTGACATTCTCTCCTTTCCCGTACAGCTCCTGAAGGAGTCGCCTCCGTGGATGTCGGTGCTGAACATGCACGAGAACCTGCTGGAGGCGCTGCTGGAGGCGCAGGCGTACGTGGACGCGCAGGCGGTGCTGGCGCGCTACGACGACATCAGCCTGCCCAAGTCGGCCACTATCTGCTACACGGCCGCGCTGCTCAAAGCCAGGGCCGTGGCGGACAAGTAGGTGGATGGGACTAGAGTGGGCGGGCTCTTTAAGTGAAAAATTTGTGAAAAAATATTGCTGGGTCTGCTCACTGCTGTGGGTTTGCCGAATGAAGACGGTTGGGAAAGCGTATTTTTCATATTATTTTTACAAAAACGATATTTTTTAGTTTTTTTTTTGTCATTGCCGACAAAAAAAGTTGTGCTACAGTTGTTTCCTCCGTGAACAATGCTTATGTTGCAATGCCTATGTTGACCCATCACCCTCCGTTTTATCTAGTATTGCCGGATGAGCTGACTGCCGAGCTCGATCCGTGGTGACGTGACGCTCAACATCTGCTCCCTCGGACAGGTTCTCTCCGGACGTGGCGACCAAGCGCGGTCTGACGGCCGCCGAGCTGGCCGCCGTGGAGGCCATCCACCGGGCCGTCGAGTTCAACCCGCACGTGCCCAAGTACCTGCTGGAGATGAAGCCGCTCATCCTACCCACCGAGCACATCCTGAAGCGCGGTGACAGCGAGGCCATCGCCTACTCCTTCTTCCACCTGCCGCACTGGAAGCGGGTGGACGGGGCGCTGAACCTGCTCCACTGCACGTGGGAGGGCACGTTCCGTATGATCCCCTACCCGCTGGAGAAGGGACACCTGTTCTTCCCCTACCCCAACAGCACCGAGTTCGCCGACAGGGAGCTGCTGCCCTGTGAGTACAAAGATGAGGTGTGCTCATGGCTGTTAATGTCTGGTTGGCTGAGGCTTTTTAACATCAATTATATTGATAAAATGTATAACTTAAAGTTCACTTGGTTATTTTATTCATTAACGTAAGTGGTTGAAGAGAGAAAATTGTTGCAGTACATTGTACAGCTAGCCTGAGCTCCAGATGGAAGCCCATCCGTTTCTGTATAATTCATTCTCCTGGGGAGTTCCTACTGAGCTGTCTCACTCGCACACCCCTCGTTTTGCTTCAGCGTTCCACGAGGTGAGCGTGTACCCGAAGAAGGAGCTGCCGTTTTTCATCCTGTTCACGGGCGCGCTGTGCTCCTGCACGGCTATCCTGGCGCTGCTTACCCACCAGTACCCGGAGCCCATGGGCATCGTCGCCAAAACGGTCAGTGACGTTCCGTGCATTGTTTTACGTGACTATTGACCATGATTGCCCGTGATCCATCCATGGTCAAGGTCCGGTCTGTGGTGGTGGTCATTGCCGGGGCCTGTGTTTGGAGACCCATCTTTTGTTCAAGCTTTTGTGTTGTGTTCGGTGAAAACGTGCTCGTGTTTTGTGCTGTTATTCATTGTTTTGAGTTCTCCATTGCTGCTCTCGTCTTCTTTTTTTACTGCCTTTATGTATCCCGTTCTTATGTGGACTTGCGTTCCGCAGGCATTGTTTCAGGCTGTTCTCTCTTGCCGACAGATTCTCAGCTGGTCGTACATGCCGATCCAGTACGTGCTGGACAAGCTGGAGGCGATCCTGCCCTCCAACATCCTCCACCAGCTGTCGCGCGTCTGAGGAAGCCGAGCTCGTCAACCGGGGGCAGACCCATGGCTGTGTTCCTTTCTGAGCGGCGGACGGCCGGCCGGACCGCGGGGAGGTGAGGTTCCATCCCTCCCCGGCCCCGCCCGGTCCCCGCCGCTCTGTTGTTAAGTTATGTGACGCCCTGCTAGTGCGGGCGCATAGATACGTTTGATTTTAGAGGTATTTTGGTTTGGTTCAGCTAGTGTTTTTAGTTTGGTTTGGTTTTCACTAGATATTTTGTACTGATTTGTTTGAGATGTTTCTGTTTGGGTCTCCTCTGGACTGGTTGGCGATGTGGTGGTCCAGTGGTCGCCATCACCATTTGGCGCTCGGTGACCGGTCCTACGCCCCGGGCTGGGTCCGCGGCTAGTGTGACAGATGCCTACATCAGCCACCGACCAGCTCTCATTGGTAGCATGTGTGTGTGCATGGACGCTGCGGCCGTGCAGCCCAGCCGTGTCCCTCTTTCATCGATCCTCCCCGCTCCCTCCGTTCGGCTCTGAGGTAATGGAACGCTGCCGCCATCGGATAGATAGCGTTAGTACATTTGTATTTAGATGTGGGATCTCATATTTGGTTCCTTCAATTCCTATACCATCACAAGCAAACCTTCCTCGTCCTGTCTCTTCTGCGTTCTTGAGGTGGCTCCTGTCCAATTCTGATTATATCGTTTTCAGCTGTTGATTTGTACCAACTTGGCCATCTGGGTTGGTATAAAATCGCAATGTCACTGAATAATGGGCAAATCTAGGCTCATCAGGCGAACTCGACTGCCCGATTTTGACGTAATCTTTCGTCTCCGTCTTTGCGCTCGACCACTTGTGTTCTCTCTGGTACTTTGGTTTGTCTGCAGTGTACAACTATGGCACTCATCGTGGTGTGTGTATGTGTGTTTGGTGGAGTAAATCTGTCGTGCATTTTCAATGCGGATATAATAAATGGTGTTTCTGATAACTTAATTTACTGTGTTTTGGAATGGACTTCTGAGAATCTGGCATTCATTTTATCATAAATGAGAACGTCTGAGGTGTACTGACTACGATTGCGTTACCGATACTCGCTCATTCCAGATGTGACATTTCACCACTGTCACTGATGGCCAGCTGTCGCTGCTGTTCTCTCCTATCTGCGTCGGCGCATCTGACGCCGCCCGTTTTGAGCGTGTCCTCTTGTCTCCTGCCGGCGATTTCATCACCGTCCTGTCACGACTGACCGTCCCTAGACCGTACAAAAACCCACCCAGGGGCGCCGGGCGCGCCGCTCTCCATCAGTTCTCGACTGTATCCCAACGGTCAGTTATTTTATCTCGGCGAGGGGCACGTGCCGGCCTTTTTTGCTCGGGCGCGTGCCGCTGGTCGCTCCTTTTTCCGCTGAAGTGGAAAAGTGCTGTTATCGGGAGAGCAGAAGATATGAGTGATCCGACCCGGATTGTGGTTGAACCTGGGTCTGAAATGAGCAGAGGAGTCGCTCGCGTTTGGGGCAGAATTGGAATTTGATCAGACTAGGAATGATTAGTGGTTTCGCAGTACCGTAGATATGTACATACGTGGAAACTTCCAACAGTTCCCATATGTATTGACCGTCACAGACGTTGCTCGCCATTCAGCGTATCTTGGGTTAGCTGTTCTGACCCCAGTACAGATCATTTTACTCTCTCCAGACTCACACGACTAGCTTCTTACGTTCTCATCCGTCGGTGCTTCTTAGACACTTAAAGCTGCAATGCTGCCCTTACATCAAATCGCCCCTATCATGGTGAGCGTTTCTAAATTCGCCTTCTTTTACATTGTTACAATATCTACCCTGTCATGTCTCGATTGTCTCCCAGTGCCCTACTCTTCTGCCTTTCCCACCCACGATACGTCGTCATATTTCGACAGGGCATTGATGTAACCCCGTCAGGACAACACGGGTCTCCCAACAGATCCCATCACCGCTCGTCAGCGGGAGCCAGTCGTCAGCCAGCGCTGTCCTAAGTTCCGGCGACAGGCCTCATGTCAGGAGCGGTGAAACACACGAAACAAACGGCGGAAATTCTACTCACTCCCGAAACAAACCCTCATTGCCGAGCTGGATCCTCATTATCCTGGCCAAGGTCTCCAGAGATGATTTAGACGTTTAGAGGTCGGGGTCAAGTGTAGGGGTCCGGACGTGGCTTAGTTCCGCTGTTTGATTATGAGGAACGCACGGTCTGGATTAGTTCCAAACTAATGCGTTTAGGTATGGCAGGCTTTGTACGGTGACCACCTGGGTGTTTTAAATCTAGAAGGCAACCGTCTTGCGATCTTTGATGCGTAAACCCATCCTAATTGTCACTATCTGCTTTGCTTTTCAAGTGAGTCATATAATGTTTTGAGTAGGTACGGACTTGTCATCGGAGGTTTATCAAGTCGGATGAATTTCCACGCTCCCTTGCTCGTCGAACTGTCTGCTTATCCTCACAAACCGTAACTGGGCCATCCCTCCACCAGACTAACCGAAAATCCAAATGTCACAGTGACAAACTAATTAGTACATTTACGTAGAAAATGTATTGCGTGCGCCCACAATACACAACATAATCACGATGTGCATATATACTCTTGCGTTAAATAATATGTCAACTTCTTGGCTACGACTAGAATCAACCAGGGGATAGTTTCCTTGCAGAAGAAAACAGATTAGCAAGTGTCTAGTCAACGACAGATGTACGAAGAAACAACACTTACATGGTATACAGAAAACACACATACACGCACACTAAGTGAGGAAGGAGGCAATTGTTTGACTAGCATATCACGCCTCCGACAAACTTGTCACATCAACTCCCACTTCCCAAACTCCACTCCCGTTCCCGTGCGGTGCAAGCCCAGCTGCCTGTTGCTCTGTCCAGAGGAAGAACAGCTCTCACTATCTTACACTCTCTGCTCGGTGGGGGGCGCCACCTGTCCTCTGCGGCGCCGCCGGAGCTCGTCTGGCGTCCTGACTATCGCTCAGTGCCACACCTGACTACAGACGGAACTCTGTACCCCACAGTCGGTCTGGTCCGCGAGTTCGCCAACCTACTGTCCCGAGTTGTCCCTCTGTACCGCCGCGCCCTGTCCTAGCTGCGGTAGAGCCTGATCACGTCCCTGATGGGCGCCCGGCAAATGGGGCACACTGCACCACCGCGCGCCTTCCACTGCACGGCGCAGCAGTAGCACATGCACACGTGGCCGCACGAGTAGAGCGCCGCGTCCGAGGCGCGCTCGAAGCAGACGGCGCAGTCGGCGGCGGCGGCCGGCTGCAGCTCGGCCGGCGGCGGCGGCAGCGGCTGGCTCGGCCGCGCCGGCACCGGCAGACTGTGCTCGGAGCCAGCGCGCACCGGCGGAGGGGCCGCGCAGCCCGGCGTCAGCTCGGAGGTGACGCCGAGCACGCGGATCCGGCCGGTGCCGCCGAACACATCCAGCACCGGCCACAGGTCCAGCGAGGCGTCCACGTGCATCAGCACCTGAGCCGCGCCGCCGTTCCTCGAGAACTCCACGGCGCCGGTGCCGTTGATCTTGAAGCTGAGCTCGTCACCAGGCGCCGGGGTGCGTGCCACATCCTTCGCCAGCACCCAGTACTCGGGCCGGTCCAACAGCAGGTCAGCATCATCGGGCAGCTCAGCGGGCGTCAGCCGAGACGGGTCACACGAGGTCAGGCCGAACGCCAGACCGCCCACGTACAGGCTGCACCGGGAGAGCACCTGCACGACCAGCCGCTCGCCGAGCCGCAGCGGCCGCTGGCCGAACACGTAGCCGTTACAGAACTCGCCCTCGAGGCGAGCAGCTACGGTCCGGTCCGGCGAGACGGTCACGTTCCGGCCACGCACACGCCTGCAACGAGAGAGACAGAGGACCGTCAGACGTGGAGAACGAGAGACGTGGGTACTGGGCAGTTCAGTCACAGAGCATGAAGGCGAGGGATGGTCAGACACAGAGAAAAGGAGAGAAGGAAGGCCGTCAGACACAGGGAATGGAAGGAGGGTCGTCAGTTACGGGTAACGGCAGCGGGGATCGATTAGATGCGGAGAACGGTTGAAAACTGTTCATGTCAGCGGGACGAGGCAGAGCATGGCTAGACTCGGCGAAAGTCGCCGGAAGCGGGCGAAAGGCACAGTAGTGTCACTCGAGCGCTCGATTCTGAACGCACGAGGCATATCGACGGCCGAGTACAATGCATGGATTGAATGGGCCCGACACTGTGCGTTGTCAGCAGTCAAATCGAAACGGTCTGCCGAGCAGAAAATCACCGTTACCGAACAAAGCTCTATCACGAAACGTTCCGTTGATAGCGGCTGACGGTTTCGTGTACCGTAGCCACAGCGGAGAACGGTATGCTACATGACTGGCCGTGAAAACAAAGACTTCTGGGGAGCAGACCGCTGACAGCCCCGCCCCCATCCCGCCCCAGCCAACCGCCAACATCAGCCTAACCGATCAAAAGCCGTGCCAAGAAAACCACAGGCGGGTCTGCGGAAAAGCAGCGGGACTCCCCGCTCCGCCCCGGTACGGTATACTCACGGGTGCAGCAGCAGCGGGGAGAAGACGCAGTGGGTGTGGTACTTGACGGCCAGCGCCGGCGGCTGCGGCTGCGGAGCCGGCAGAGGCAGCGGAGGCTGCTGCGCGTGCGGCGGTGGAGCGTTGATGGTGAGAGCGGCCAGCGCCGGTCGCGTCCATCGCTCCAGCTCCTCGTTGGTCGGCCGAAGCACGGGCAGAGGCGCCGGCTGCGGCTCTGAGGACACAAGGAGAGCACACGGTCAAACAATGGATACTGAAGCACACGGTCATCCACTGGGTGCTCAGACAATCGTGGGAGAGCACCAGAGAATACTCGAAACTCGTAACTGCGCCCAGCAAATGATTCCATTATTGCACAAAAGTCCCACGGTAGGCCGCGCCGACCTAGAGCGCTTTACGCCTGGACTGCGTCTTTGTTGCCAAATGTCCGTCGTGAGAGCCGACTGTGTGAGAGCGCCCGGCGCTGTGACTCCACTCCGACTCAGCACAAAGCTGAGTCGGGAAATCTGGCGGCACGTAACGCGGCCGTCTCTGCTCTCCGTTCCCAGCGGGCGGGCGGCGGCGCCCGTCACGGCTTCGGCGTCGTGTCGACAGCGACCGGTGAGCGACACGCATCGGCCGCGGCGCGCCGCGCCCGCCGCCGTCGGCCGACACTTTCCCACGCGTCACCCGCCGCCGCTCGGCCGGTCAGCCCAGCCGCCCGCCGCTCCCGGGCTCCCGGAAAGTGGGCGCGCGACTTATCGCCAGTCAGGTTCTAATCTCGGCAGCCCGGCCACAGGGCTCGCGAGCCTTGAACCTTCCCTGGAGATCAAGTGCTCACTGTGCTGTCCCGTTCCACAAAAACCGGCAGACCCGATGGAGAAAAGAAAACTATGCGGCGCACCCGGCTCAGCAAGGCCTCGGTCGCAGGGTCAGCTAAAGTCAAGTGGGCCTGCCAGTGATGGGAACCGGCCGTTTACACGGATGAGATAGCGAAACAAGCGCGGATAACACGGCGAGGCGCTGTGGGAACTCACGGACGATCTCGAGGGCGGTGGCGTTGCCGTAGATGTCCACCAGACACCAGAGCGGGCGCGACACGTCCACGCCCGAGAAGAAGATGCCCTTCTCCTCGTTGTTGAGGCCGAAGTGGACATCGCCGCCGGCAGTGACGTAGTAGAAGAACACGCAGCCCGGCTCAGCGTAGCGCTCCGACATCGCCTTGGCCCAGAAACCAGGCTTGCTGGTCAAATCTGCCGAAACGTTGACAGTCAGACGCCGAACAAAACAGCGCGATGATAACCGCAAAAAGCTTTGCCGAGCTTTCGCGAATGTCAACAGAGCTGTGTTTTGATTTCGAGGCAAGACGATTTGAACAGTAGGTAACACAAACACGCAGACGGCTCGAAAGGAACGAGCTTTGACCCGCCCCGTGTGCCCGATAACTCATGTGGAACTTTATTCGCGCGCATCAAAGTGCCGATTGCTGACATGACCTAAATATTACGCTACGCAAACGTACCAAGAATTACTCACAAGGCCAATCTCCACTTGAATCAAGAGCTCGCACCTGCTTGCAACAACACTGGAGCCCCGCCCTACTTGACCAACAGATACGGCAAAAAGTGTGCCGCGAGGGGCGAAATACTCACCAGGACAGGCGTACTTGGGCAGGCCGTGGGTGTGCGTGCGCGGATCGACGCTGGTGAAGCCCAGACGCACCACGCCGCTCCACTGGTTAGACACATCAGCCAGGCGCAGCATGATCTGAAAATGAAACGCAAAATACGTCAGCGCTACAGTAGGTACAGTATTAGCATAGACACTGTCTATGCTGTCTATTAGACATTGGACACTGGACAGTGGACACCATTCATGAGTCACGCACGAGCTTTGTCCTTCCAAGAAATAACGCACAATTCCAGGATCGAACAGCCCCAGGGTGTGACTGTGAGGGTTAGGGTATCGGTTGGGTAAGTTTGGCCTCGAAGAGTGCTAGTTTGAATGGGACGTAAATCCACATTACTACTTTCACCCAATCAAACCAATTATCGGACACTGGTCGACTGCTTATCAAAATACCCGGCTTAAAGAAGTAATTATAGCCAGACTTAGAATCGGACATACTAAATTGACACATGAATATATCTTTGATCAAGGCCCCCCTCCAATCTGCCAACGTTGTAACATAAGATACACAATTGAACACTTCTTGATCCACTGTCCCCAATATCAAGCAGAGAGGCAACCTATAATCCAATATATCACCCACAACCAACTTGCACTTTCAATTCCTACTCTCCTCGGCGATTCTCACCCGGATCTACTCGACTTGCTTTTCTCTTTCCTGAAGAATTCCAGGCTAGACCGATCCATATAGCACAGTCTCGCGCTCAGTTCCGTGGTCGGCAAGCCGTCGATAGCGGTTCTGGGCGCGGGACTCAATCTTTTTGATTTCCTGGATACTGGCCATGTCAATTAAGGAGCCCCGAGCTTACGGGCACCAGCCGCCGCCGCGGGGACCATTGGCACGCGGCGGCGGGCTCCTCTGCCCCCCATCTGCTTGGAGAAAGAGGTGTCGGCACTATGCCGTCCGCAACGACCCGTTTAATGGAGTTACGTCACTGGAGTCCGCACTGAAACGTCAGTTCTGTAATCATACCAGTCAGCACTTGGTGGGGGTTTTGTAGGAGCCCCGAGCTTACGGGCACCAGCCGCCGCCGCGGGGACCATTGGCACGCGGCGGTGGGCTCCTCCCCCAACTCCTTGGACACATGATTTTCTCTTGGTTTTTCTTGGTTTCTCTTGGTTTCTCTCGTGGTTTCATCGTAATTGTTTTTGTTTCCATTGTTCTTGTTGCGCCGTGATTTCGTCTATGTTTGCGAGCGCGCGCGTTTGCGTCCCTCCGGCGGCGGCGGCGGCAATCGGCACCTGCCCATCCCTCTCGCGGTTCTCGACAGGGATCCCTCTTAAAGGTTGAGGCCCACTCGAGACACATAGCTCCGCAAACACACTTACACATTAGCGATATAACGTAACGTAATATCAAAGCAAAGGGATTTTTCCTGTGCAATTTGGCAAAAGCGCACAGGTTTTGCCCTCTAAGATAGGCACCAGGTTTTTCTAGTTAGGACTTTCCTGGTGGAACTCACAACACAACAACAGCACACATTACAACACTACCACATTTCAGCATCAAGATTCAGCAGCAAGAAATGTAAGTACTCAAAATCCCTCTCGGCACTGCCACTCTGGCACCCTTTCTGGCTTTCCCTTGCACTTGCTTCCACCGGACGTCACATGAGCCGGGCTAACGTAAACTTTGTTCTTAATATTGCCTTGGGCCGGAATAACATAGCCGGCATTAAAGTAAAGTAAAACGGAAGATCTGGCTAATTGCCAGCTAGTAACTTCCCCCTACCCCGACCAGGGCCTCGGCCTGTCGGGAGCAAAATTCAAAAAAAAAAGGATTCGAACGTGACCCGGCGGTGCCGCGGGGCATTTGAGCGTGGCCGCCTGTGTCGGGTGACCTCCGTTCTCAGGCGGACCGGCGACAGGGTCGGCTGGGCGTGACGGCCCGACAAGGTCCGCCACACGGCCCGGCTGGATACCCACCGGCGCGCCGGGTCAGCCGTCGAGCGGAGCCGCCACCTCCCCGCGCCGGTTCCGCCGACAGAGGGGAGAGAGGGAGGGGAGAGTGACGGACGGCCTCCCGGGAGGGGACGCGGCCGCCGAGCGCACAAAGACAACATCCGGTGCACCTCCTGGAATGCGCGCCGGCCGTGTCGAGCGGACGCCTGTGCACAGAGACCGCGCCCCGTCCATTGTCCTCCTCCGGTCCCCAGTCCCGTCCGCGTCCCCTCTGCAATCAGCCCTCCCGGGAAGCCACAGTGCGGCTCCCTATCGCGGCGGAGCGGGCCGTAATGAGATACAGCTCTAATGAGGAGCGGATCGGGAGCCGGCCGATCGGTCGTAAATGGAGGCGGTGTTACGCCGGGGGCAGGGGTGGCGTGGCGAGGAGTCGGGGCTTGTAAAACATGGGGCGCACGTGGGACTAACAAGCCGAGCCGTTCCGGTACGAGCCAAATGGGACAGACGGGCTGGGTCGATCTGACCATAGTAGGCGAGGCCAGGACAGGGTGGGGTGGGACGAAATAAAGATAACAGCCGGAGCGATACAAGAAAAAGGGAAGGTCGCACACCATCCCGACCCCACTCACTGCACATCTGGTCAAAACTCACCATCCCCTCCCACCAGAGCACACCCTGTGAGGCAGCGGAGAGCCGTGCGTACCTTTTTCGTTGATGCGACGGGCCGGCCTGCTGAACCGATCCCCTTGCAGTAGGAGTCCACGCGCTGACGCGGGCGCCGCCGTTCATCAACGGATGTTCTCGCCGTGACCGGTGGAACAGCAGCGGAGGTAGGTTGTTGGTTGGCCTGTAACCGTTTGCTGTTGTTGGTGGACGATGCTGCAACAGACGAGAACGCAGTTTAGGTCACATCAGGTCAGATCAGCTGGCTAGGTCATCTGCATGTAGGTGTGGGAAGAGAGCGATGAAGGCTGAGAGATGGCTCCTTGACAGATCGTAAGCGTTTGAGGGGGCGTAACTGAGCATTGTGCTGGCTGATATGCATACAATGGTCAGGGGAAAAAGAGTAACCGACATCCAAGAATGACTTCTGACGACATCCAATGACTTCACAAAATGCGCGAACACTCGAGACTGTGGTCTTCCCGCCGAGTGGCCCCTCTCACCCAGAAAAAGTGATGTTTCTGGCGGCTATCGTACTACACGATTCCTATCGGCCCGGGGTGGTTATCGGTAAACATACACACACGAGGTCTCCGGTCGCGGCCGCCCAAGTTCAGGTCCACGAGTACTTGACCCAAGGCCCAATATACCGACTATGTAGGACTTGAACTGGCCTGACGTTGACAAAACGCCGGTTTTTGTACAGCAACAACCTTTATCAGCGGCGTGTCCGCCGTTCAGCTCAGTCCTTGTTGATTTATTTTATTTCATTTTTCAGTTCGTTCCAAGTTCCAAATCATCTGTAATGAATTCCCACCGATCCAAGTGTCACCGCTCTAAAGCGTTGCACTCGTTTACCAATCCACCTCATTGAGCACATCAGCGCGACAGCCTGCACTCTGCAGCGCGCGTCTGCACTTCAGAGGGCAAGTCGACCCCGCTCGTTCAGAGGCGACGTCTCGGCTGAGCTGTCTCCGTCAGGAGACACCGGCAGCTCAGTCTGGTGCCGCTCAGCGCCCGACAGAGCTCACATGTCTCCTCTGACGCGGCCAATTCCCACGGTTATACGGCAGGCGGTGCTCAGAGCGACGACAGCTGTGCGCTGGCCAGGCCGCCGCCGCCGTCCCTGAGACCCAGTCTGTCCGCGCCGTCATTCCCGTCTCCCGTCCGTCTCCGTCCCGGTCCCTCGCCAGGTGCGCTGACAGCCGGGACAGGGGAGAGACAGCGGCGCCCCTCGGCCGCCCCGCCCGGCGCTATTCCCGTCCTTTTTCCGGCGCCGCTCCCGCCTCCCTCAGTGTCGGCGGCAGGACCGGGACCCGCCCGCTGGAATTCCTGTCGGGCAGGGCGGACCCGGGCCGCACGTGCGCGCCCGAGCGGGCCGGCCGAGGGCGGACCCAGCGCTGCCGAGGAGCGCCCGACACATCCGGCGGCGCCGCCCCGTCCTGGCCTTTGTATCCGGCCCGGACGGAGGTGTTTGCTCAGCGCCGACCCGTGACCGGGAATTAATTGGCTTCCGGCGCCGCCGCCCACGCCGGAAGAAGGGGTTCCGTCGCCTGGCCAAGTGTGAACGGCAGTCGGCCGCCGTAGCGAGCCGCAGCGTCGGTAACCCAGATCCAGGTGGGGTGGACTGAGGGGCTTGATGAGACCCTCATCGGGGTGAGCCGCACTGGTGCGCACACCGGATACGAGTCGACGCGTCCGGTCCCTAGCTATACGCTCCGACGGGGGCGACGACGTCCGGCCGGGCAGGGGTACCGCCCCGTGTCCACCGCGGCTGCACTGTCCCGTGTCCACCGGGGCGCCGGGGTGGCACTTTCCCATGGCTTCTCAGACATCAGCGGCGCTGTCAACTGACAAACTGAGAGACGGACGACGTCGCGAGGGCAAAGACGTCATCATACTGAGTTCGTTGTGGAAAGTCAAATGTCCTATATCCAGAACGTTTTAATTCTCATGCACTTGCAGATAAAACACACCGAACGGCTGTGATTTGCCGTGCGAGGAATTCCGCTGAGATCACCATCTCGGTGACAGGAAAAGACAGCCGCCAGAGCCGGGAGCAGAGACACAGGTAACCTCAGAACCCGGATACGGGCCGCTCTGGTTCGCAGGCACGGCATTCCGGGAGAGCGAGCGGGCATTCTCCGAGTCCGTAATTAGTGCCAAGTATAACACAAGGAGGGATGACGAGCACTTCACTGTCGGCCGGCTTAGTAAGCGGAGTGGAATGCTAATGGAGCTCGCACGCGCACATTCGTCTCCAACATTCCAAACGAAATGACCGGTCTCCGGTTCCACGCCGCAGAACAAGGGACCGAGAGTGAATACTTAGCTGAACTGTGCTAGTCGAATACAAGAATTCAATAGCAATTAGGCTCATTCTCATCCAAATGGTTCAAATTCGAAAGTATTTTTGCCGTTGATTGTCGGCACGCACGGACCACACAACGCCTACAAATTACGCAACAGGGCGCGGTCCGCGGATCCCGCCCCACGGCCGGATCGCTTTTGCTGCTGAATGCTTCCATTCAGCGCCGGCGCCGGGCCGTCCGTCGGCGCAGGTTCCGGCGCCCATTGAACGTCAGAGGCCTGACGACCCCCCTGGGAATGGCGTCCCCTCCGCGCGGCTCCCGCGGGCCCGCTGACGCGGCCGGCACGCTCCAGCTGAGCTCCCCGTCCCGGTCCGGGCCATGAACCGCAGCCAGCTGCCGCCGATAGCCGGCCAAAAATCGATGAATTCACGCACCCCGCCAGCCGGCGCCCAAACAAAGCCGTGCGAACGGGGCCGCATTCCCTGCGGAGCTCTGCTGGCGTCCCCTCGCCGGCTCCCCCATCAGCGTGAGGACACGTGCATTATACATGCACACACGCACGACTACGTACCGAGTCCACCGCCGATGTTCCTGAGCTTTTTGAGCGCCTTCAGCTTCATTGCTGGTCCCTCGCGGCGCGGAGGTGACCGCGCGACACGACGCACTATCACACACTGACGCTGCCGGGACGGGCACACCAAGTGCCGTCGGTTCCGGCTATTGTCCCCGAGCGCGACGGTCCGTCACGAACGACGTGCGTCACGAGGCCGTCCGACCGTCACTCGCGGCTAGAGCGGC